TATGTATATTCAACCAGCACACACAGATAGCTGTACCTGCTATGATACGAAGGTATGTATCAATAAGCAGCTGCTGTTTGATGCCCCCTCCTCCATTCCTGCTGCCTAGGTCATGGGGGTTGCTTTATGGTCAGGTAACAAAAGGTTAAAATTGAGCAGGGCAGAGAGCCTAGGATGGTCTGTTTCTATATTAGACACTCTCCAATCTGATTAATAGGTGTCTGCATTAGTTAAGATACCAAGAGAAACAGAAACAAAGAGTAGAGAGGGAGTGTAGAAGAGGGAGAGAGGGAAAGAGAGAGAGAGAGAGGTGAAGAAGAAAAGGAGGAGGAGAAGGAGGAAGAGGAGGAGGAGGAGGAAAGAATAAGGAGTTTCCTCTTGAGATTATGGAGAGTGAAGTCTCACAATTTGTCCTATGTGAAGATAAGTCAAAGGTCCTGCTCGACCATGGCTGGCTTTGCTTGGAAGCACAGAGGAAACATTTCCTCTGTATTGACCCTCCCCTCTTTGTATACTGGACACTGGTTCAAGAACAGATCCTCAAACGGCCTTAAGAGTAAAAATAAATTGGTTTATCTGGGCCAACTGTATGGTCTTAAACACCCAAAAGGAAAGTATAACCAAAGATTATGGGGTCAATATAATTTTTTAAGAGTCCATGTGTATAGCTAAAGGCTACATAACAAGAAACAATACCAGGCAGGAGATACCTTCCTTTGAGTGTTGGACAGGGTGGCCTAAGAGACTCCCAGACAGTAAGCCAGCATAGAACTGCGAAAATGAACAGCAGACCCCAATCTTATCTAAAGGATTATGGGCAACTGATTGCTGCTAGATGAGGAAGAGCTGATCTTCCTAAAACGAGGCTCTCTAGATAGGCTGACTAGATTAAGCGAATGGACAAGCACTGGGGAATGGCTAGGGACACCAACAACACAATGGACAGTAACAGGAATGACAGAGTATGTGGGTTTCAGTTGGGGACAGGGAGGCTATGGGAGGGTGTCATTTGGGAAGTAGATATATAGATGAATAGGATTGTTTGGGATGTTCTATATGAAATACACACACACACACACGAAAATCAACAAATTAAAAAAAAAAGAGCCTTATTTGAGGAGGAAGAGTAAAAATTTGCTTTATGTTAATTAGTAGAGGTGAAACATATTACCATTGAAATCTATGTGATAATTTTACATCCGTGCTCAGGTGCCAAGGATCTCAGAAAGTAACCGACTGTGACTAGTAATAATCAGATACATAGAGATTAGAGATGCATATGCAAACAGCTCAGTGTTAGTAGCATTAATAATGAGTTTTTCTGTATGAAACAGTGCATTTTAAAATGAAATGGAGATGTTTTTAAAAGGTTAAAACCTCACTCAATCTTATGTCTTATAGAGTTTATAATGAGTAAAAGACTGTACAAGCATAATAATTCATCTGTAAACCTAAAAATATACAGCCAATTTTGAAAGAGATGTACCCTAGCTCAGAAAAATGTTATTGAATAGGTTAATGCTGTTGTAATGAAATTTTTTTTTTATAGTACTCAGTATAAACCCCATAAGACATAAAATTAAATGAGGTTTTAATTTTTAAAAAGATTTCCATTTCATTATTAAAATACACAGTTTCATATAGAAATGTTCATTTAAAAAAGAAATATTCATTTAAAAAATATTCATTTTTAATGCAATTAACACTAAGGTGTTTGCACATGCGTTTCTAATCTCTATATATCTGATTATTACTAGTCACAGTCGGTTACTTTCTGGGCTCTTTGGCATCTGAGCATGGATATAAAGTCACTAGGCCGATTTCAATGGTAATGTTTTTCATATCCACTAATTATTAAGTAGCAAATTTTTATGCATTGTAGAATTATTATTTTTTAAATTTTTAAAAATTTAATAACTTCATGATTAGAAGAAACATTTCATTACAGCTTTAACATATTCAGTAACGCACTCCAGAGCAAGGATACATCTCTTTCAAAAGTGGCTGTAAATTTTTAGGTTCACAGTTGAATTAATACAGTTATACAATATTGAACGCAGTATAAACCCTGTACGATATAAAATTGAACGAGATTTTACCCTTTAAAGATGATCTCCATTTCATTTTAAAATATGCTGCTTCCTACTTTTTAAAATATTTTTTAAAATTTTTTTAGAAGAAGCATATCATTACAGCTTTAATA